GGATGTTATCAGGGCCTGTGCTCTTAGTTGGGTTTAACCTGCTTAGTTCTTTTTGAATGAAGTCATGAGATACACTTACTATTGACAAAACTGTTGGGGTTACACCTTTATGGTATAGTATGTTGAAACTTATCAGAGTCCTGTGTTAAGGTATTTGATGCAGCTGGTAGTTTACTTACGGTATGTTGATGCACACGATGTGTAGTGGATTAAAGCATTGCCACTTAGATGTTTGTGGATACCTCATTATCGATGTCCATTATTTTATGATCTTTTAAATCAAGTGTGAAGATGTTATCCAGATGTTCTTCCTGTGAACCTTTTGTGCCAGTTGGGTTCGGAAACGTGGATTGGTGTAAAGGATACCTCACATAGGCAATTATGGATATAATTAAACAACGGAATATATGGGAGCCCCGCTGACCTGCCTCTCTGCTCCAATCTTTACGACTGCCTCACCAGATGGTTCCTAGGGGTGAGCGGCGTTCAAAACATGCTAAGGTCAGCTGTAACAGTGAATAAGTGATTAACACAGACGGTTGGTAGTGAGTCACTACTGACACTGGTAACTGGTTACTGGTACTGGTACTACTGAGACCTTTTCGGGGGGCTTGTTCATAGGCCTTTTGTGTATCCATATGCTCTTGCGCTACCATCCACAGGATGGATATAGGGTGCACAATAAACTAACCACTACTGTCCACAGGATGGATATGGGGTGCACAGTAAACTAACCACTTCCTCACACACTGACAAGTCACACCTACAATAAATGATTATAAAACTCAGGATTAATCCTAAATATCCTAAGCTGTGAGTACACCTAAGGTTGAGGTCAGAGCCTGCAATACACCACACGTTACACAGAGAGGAGCAGGATTCCCAGTGAACAGAAACCTCCTGAGCTTTTGACCCTTCCTCTCAATTAACCGAGACTCTTGTTATGTCCTGTACACCACCACTGCCAGGCAGGAGAGGATGGGAAAGGTAAGGGGGAAGGTAAGGAATAGGGGGCATGTTAGGGGAGGATGGGAGGGCAAAGAGTTGTTGTGATCACGTGACAAGACGAATTACTTAATCAGGTGGAAGGTAACAGCAGCCTCAGCAGTGTGCTGTACTGGCTCACCAGAGTCTGTGCTCGGCTGCACCACATCCCAGCGTGTGCTTATTCGCTTATAATGGGGTTGTAGAGCTTGAGTCACAGCTCCTGGCCCCGCTCTTAACGTGCATGTGGGTAATTACCCAGCAGGGTAAACTAGCACTGAGTGCTGCCCTTCGTTCTGGTCCCCTTTTGCCGGTCTACTATTATTATTATTTACACCGTTCAATTTACAGGTTAATCCTATCTCAGCTTACAAGCTGAGATAGGATTAACCACGCAGCCAGAATCCAGAGTCTAGAATCTGGCTATGTGGTTAAAATACTCTGTACTCTGATGCCAAATTTGCAGGCTCGAATCCTGCTTTGGCCTGAGAGAATGTTCGTAAATAATTTCGCCTGTCTGCGAACTGTTAAGCACTATCTCAGCTTATTTAGAAGTCAAACCCAGGCAGGTGTTCACTACCACCCTGCATGACGACACCCACAACGGTCGACTAACACCCCCAAAGTCACCCACAACAGTCGACTAACACCTCAAAGTCACCCACAACAGTCGACTAACGCCCAGGGCCATCCACAACAGTCGACTAACATCCAGGTACCTATTTACTGCACATGAACTGCGATGCCCACACTCTCCCTGGATCAAACCCCCGGGATGCCGGGTGAAGGCGCTACCAGTGTGCCACCAGCGTCTTCAACTTACACCTGATAAACCTTTATATTAAAGGAAGAGAATTATGGTCAGCTTGGTAATGTTAGTTTAACTTAATGCTAAAGAAAATATTACTGCGGAATAAGCTTTCATAGAGCTGTGTAGAGCTTAGTAAAAGTCACGACTTGATAAAGCTCTTCAGAGAGCGAAACACCCAACAAAAGCAGAGAGAGAGAGAGAGAGAGAGAGAGAGAGAGAGAGAGAGAGAGAGAGAGAGAGAGAGAGAGAGTCAGGAATTCCCAAGGAGAGAAAAGTCGTATAATAATAAATTTACGATAATGGTTCAATAAATGAAACCATAATAACTGGCAGTAAAAATTAGCGAGACCTTTTTAAAACAATTACTATGACATGAACACAAAGTAAGTTCTTTCCAAGTCGAGCCAGATAAACGAACACAGGAGTCAAGTTGCAGCCTTCAGAACACCATGATACAACACAGGAGCCAAATTGCAGCCTTCAGAACACCATAATACAACACAGGAGTCAAGTTGCAGCCTTCAGAACAAAGCAAGCAACCAGAAGCAGAAAGCCTGAACCAACTTCCTTGGTTGGCGAGATTCGTGATTAATATTTGCCCTCAGAAGACAAAGACGACGACAATGAGAAGATGAAAAAAGAATGAAAGAACGGGGAAAGGAAGAATAGCAACTGGCAGAGGTTTAACAACAAAACATAACTCCTGAAGGACTCCCGGAGATTGTCGAGCCAAAGGTTTTTAAGGAGAAAAAGAAGGCAAGTGGCGAGAGGACTCGAAGACAAGAGAGCTGGGACTGATGCGAGACGATGGGAGAGAGTATTGGATTTTTCACTAGTGTTGGAGATGGTTGAAGGGACCCAGGGGCTGGGGAGGTGTGTGTGAGAGAGGGACAGAAGCCTGACCTGTAGTAGGGAGGGAGGGCAGGCGTGTGAAGGCAGCATGATGGATCTTGGCAGCCTTCCTCATGCCTCCTCTCCTCCCCTTCCCTCCACCTAAGTGGTCCAGGGCGAGCAAGCCACGATCAGCCGGAGGTAAGAACCTCTTGTTACTGCTACTACTACTTCTGGTTGTACTACCACTACTTCTGGTTGTACTACCACTACTGGTGGTGGTACTACAACTACTTCTGGTTGTACTTCTGCTACTGGTTATACTACTACTACTTCTGGTTGTACTACTACTACTACTTTTGGTTATACTTCTACTATTGCTGGTGGTACTACAACTTCTGGTGGCACTACTACTACTTCTGGTTGTACTACTACTACTACTGCTGGTACTACAACTACTACTGCTCGTTGTACTACTACTACTACTGCTGGTTGTACTACTACTGCTGGTTGTACTACTACTACTACTGCTGGTTGTACTACTACTACTGCTGGTGATTGTACTACTACTACTACTGCTGGTACTATAACTACTACTTCTGGTTGTACTACTACTACTGCAGGTGGTACTACAACTATTTCTGGTAGTACTACTACTACAACAACTTCCACCCCATCCTCCATCCCTGCCTACTGTTTACCTACTAAACAGCTCAAACTAGCCGCCACGACGGCCCACCAGGTGAAACCGGCTAGTTCTCCTTCCCCATCTCCCTCTTATATCCCCCCTCTCACTCTCCCCTCTCCCTCTTTCTCTTTCTCTGAGCCACTCTCCTCATTTTACACTCTCCATTGCAGCGCTCAGAATACTTGGGGTGAAAATCTCAGAGGCAATTCATTGCTTGTGTTTTGAGGGCAATGATAGTACTCCCTCGACCGTGACGCGACTTCTGTCTGCCTTCTTGTTAGTCTACCTCACTATTTGCCTGTCTCATTATCTGCCTACTTGTTAATCTGCTTCACTGTTTGCCTGTCTCCTTGTCTGCCTACTTGTTAGTCTGCTTCACTGTTTGCCTGTCTCCTTGTCTGCCTACTTGTTAGTCTGCTTCACTGTTTGCCTGTCTCCTTATCTGCCTACTTGTTAATCTGCTTCACTGTCTTATTGTCTGTCTTCTTATGTCTGCGTCCTCGTCTGTGTATCCATTTCAGTTTTTATCACTATTATTCGCCTCCCTATTTATTTGGTTACATAACTACCGTCCGTTTTCTCACCCACCCCCGAAGAGCGAGAGAGAAAGAGAGAGCCCCTTACCTTTCTTCCATTTTCGTCCAGCACCAGAGGCAACCAGAGCCAGCTGACTATTACACTGCGTTGCACAGTGAGCAAATATCTACAAAAATATCTATGAGAGGAAGGTGCCAACGGCTGGACTCCATCATAAGGGCCAGTCCAAGGAAGAAAGACTCCATGACCACTACAAGATGTTAGTGGCAAGCCAGCAAGAACTAACTCGTGCTGGCCCATGGCCGGGCTCCGAGAGTAGTGAGAGACTCGAAACTCATCAAAGATATATCAAAAGTGCCCTACAAAACGATAAATCGTTCGTTGGTCTTCGCACTCATTCCATGACTATAACATCCCCAATCTCAGTGCAACGCAACGCTTATCACATCCATCTTAAGCACCTTACAGGTCCAAGATGTCGAGGGAAGTGAAGCCACACTGGATGCCAAGCCACGCTGGTATCCAAATGAACTAGGGATGAACTCTCCTCGCCAGCGGTGAGGAGAGCCAAGTGCTCTGCCACGAACATCCCTACAGTTAGGGAAGAGGAAAGGATGTTTTGCTAGAAATGAAAAACGAGGCTGTATTGATAACAGTGGGAAATGTTGGAGAGGGTAGAAAGTGAGGGGGGAGGGGGGAGGGAAGAGAGGAATTGAGAGACTGGAGGGCGGAAGGGACAAGTTGGAGGCAGGAAGGGATGGAGTGGCAGGGACTGAGGATTGAGGACGAGGCAGAAGAACAGTAGAATCACTTGATGGTGTCCTTCAAAAAACTGCACAAGGTCGGTACCGCCAGGTTACAGGTGTGTGGAATAAGGACAGGTGTGTGGGATAAGGACAGGTGTATGGAAGCAAAGAATACATCTACGCCAAGTGAGGACAAGCAGGTAATCAACCACAAGTGCACAGAGAGATGTACCTGGAGTTTACCTGGAGAGGGTTTCGGGGGTCAACACCCCCGCGGCTCGGTCTGAGACCAAGGCCTTACGGTGGATCAGGTGTGTAGAGAAGGGATTGACAACGATAAATGTGTAGACAGACGAAAAGAAAGGTGAGGCAGAGAGGCAGACAGACAGGTACCTCCACTTACCTATGTCACAGTTGGCACCCATCCATCCCGAGCGACACACCTTGTCACCGGAGGCGTCACAGGTGAGATGGCCAAACTTGTCATCCCTAGGCCTACAGAACTTAGTGCAGGTGGTGTTGTAGTAGTTCTGGTCGCAAAGTACCCGCACTCTGTAGGTGACGAGTGCCACGGTGCCCTGGGCGGGCAGGGTGTGCCAGTCAGTGCCGGGAACCAGGATGCCGCTGTACGTCAGGGTGTCGATAACCTCCTTCCTCTCTGAGGGAAGATGACGGGAAGACAAGTTAATGATGGTAATCTGTGGAGCCCCAGGAGCTGGAGCCTGTAGAAAGGTAGTGACGGACAATAATCATGATAATTACGAAAGTTTTTATAAAAATAATACTAATAAAACAATAATAGTAAAACAATAATAATTATTATTAAAAGCATGCATGTAAACAATAACGTGTAATCTGGTCCTTTGTGCAACGCTCTGAGCGTACAGGTAATACCTACACACACACACACACACAACACACACACACACACACACACACACACACACACACACACACACACACAAGGAGAGTACCAGCTTACATAATCTCTGGGGGTAAATGACCACACACACATGGACAAAAAAGTTACATACAGCAGTATCATTTCCAGTAATCAAGATTAATGGCGGAGGGCGGCAGGTAGGGAGGCGTGGGAGGACAAGTATTAATTACCGCTGGCGTGGCTCCCCTCCACGCCCTCCCCAGGATACCACCTCAACACAGCAGACACACACAGACACACACAGACACACACAGACACACACAGACGTACGTCCTGGGGAACGTGGAGATGGAGCCAAGCGAGAGCAGAGAGATGAAGGAAAACAAGAGATAATTACCCAGGAATGAGTGTTCCTTAATGGAGTACAGTAAGATAGATGCAACATAAAAGAACACAAGATGACTAAGAGGTCGTTCCAGACATACAGTTCCAGACATTGAGAAGGGGGCTCGGGGGTCTTCAGCCCTCCTAAAGATTCCTTCAGCCCCTCGAAGCCTCCAAATAAAAACAGTAATAATAATAACTGCTTCAAAAAAGTCTCCTAGCCCCCATACCCAACGGGTAGCCCCCTCTAAGCCCTCAGCAAAGAAATTCTGGTGCCGTTCCTGACACGAGGAGAGAAGAAAGGCATATTGATAATTACATAGCATCATAGAGTCTGATAGGAAAGATTACCATGAGGTACCATGGTTGTGTTGTGTTGGTATAAGAAGGAAAACTGCAATGAGCTACCATGGTTGTTATACTGATATAAGACGGATAACTACCATGAGCTACCATAGTTGTGTTATGCTGGTATGAAAAGATCCCAACACCCGTGTAAATTATCCTCCAATAATCGTAACCTATACCCCTCTGACAGGTAGCTGAATGGTAGTTGCTAAGCAGGCTACTGCTCTGCCTGCCATGGTAGTTGTCTGGAAGGTTACTCTTCTGCCTGTCATAGTAGTTGTCTGGAAGACTACAGCCCTACCTGCCATGGCAGTTTTCCGTTAGCGTGTATGTAGTTATATATTCAGGTGCGCGAGTGTGTATTAAAAACTAAGGAAGGGAGCGAGCCGGTGGCGTTCCAGCAGGCATCATCCATGTCAGAAAGTTGGTTTGGACAGCCTCCTCCACGGCCCTTCCAGTTAAAAACCTTCCAGGAGGCAAAAAAACGGAGCAGCGAGGCTTGTTTTGGCAGTGGTCAAGGTTTGGTAACCAATTAACAAGCGTGTAGGAGATCATGCTAGCTACCCACACCCCAGCATCTCGTAGCCTCTCCGCGGGGCGGAGAGATCCAGCAACCTCCCCACAAGAGGTCCAGGATAATCCTCTAGTCTTCCAGCTGAGGGAGATATATTATTTTGACTTTCAGAAGAATTGAAGTTGTCGTGGTGGATTCCAGCATATAAGAGAGAAACTCTTTTGCTTCCAGTAGAGTGTGTTCCAGGAGATGGAGGAGAGATTCTTTAGTGATAATAATTTTATTTTTATTTTCAGTGTAGTCATTATTTTTCAATGTTTCCAGAAGGGGTGAATATATTATTACTTCTCGTAATGATCGAGACATTTTTACGTATTCGAACACTGTGACCCAGTCAGAGGGAATTCCTGACGGGCGAAACGTGAAGGAAATCCTCACGAGGACCTGTTACAGTAATGATGCAGAAATTATTATACCTTCCAGTAATATATTTATGTGCTTTATATTAAAACGTAAGTCATCCTTAACCTTTTCAGTGCCAGCTAAGACATTCTTAAGCCTTTGCCGTAATGGTAAAGATATTCTTTCACACTCTAGTATGGGGAATTATATTATCTGGGGTTTCCATATGAAGAAGATACCATGAAGACCTCCAGCAATGGTAAAGTCGTTCTCAGTGTTTCCAGCAACAGTATTTACATTCTGGGATTCCAGGAAATATTATTTTGTCTTTCAGTACGACTTCTCATGTTTACAGTAGGAGACAGTTACCTTTGTCCTTAAAACCGTGTCGTAGCTATCCCTGTTGCCTCCAGCGGCAGAGAATATAACTCCTGAGTCTTCTACCCCTGCAAGATATAATTGTAGCTTGTAGTGATGAGAGAAACAAATCATGTGGCTCCGAGTGATGGTGAAGAAGCTAATCTTCCGGCTTCCAGTGGTGAAAAATATCTTCTTCTGGCTTCCAGTGGAGAAACAGAGATAGATTGGCCAAAAAAAGGCTATTAGAGTCTCTTGAATACGGTGAGAGGCCGAGGGTATAAGAAGAGTATTGAGGTGAGATATTAACAGAGGTCTTTAGCGAGGGCAATAACTAGATAACGGCGGTACTAACGCATTCCCCAACGAGCAATTTCGTGGGTAAATTGAGCACTCGTGCAGCCGTTAAGGCTCCAGCTCATGCAGCTCAACTGAGTCCCTCAAGTGGTCTGCTTTCTTCCTTGTCGTCCACGGTTAAAACGAGGCAAAGGTCGACACCAAACGACCGTATCAATTTCTCCGTGCTCCCTCAGTCATGTTTGAGAAACCTACAATTCAGAGCTTTAATTTAAGACAGGCAGGTTGGGAACTATCTCACTTAAGATGAAAAATAATTTCCAACGTATCTCCCACCGATATACTCTGTCATACAGTGTAAAGACCAGTGCGAAACTTCTTAGCTGCTTTCCAGGGTTTTGTGCCTGAGCTCTAACCACATCCAGATGGTGGAGGCGGATGCTCCGTCTCTGCGTCCCCATCTCATCGCCGTCTTCAATCATGCAGAATAATTTTTAATTTAAGCAATGAAACGGAACAGCGGGAGCGTGACGGAGTCCGGGATTGCCTTGGGAGATCTGCAACCACTCTCCCTCCTCTCTCTCTCTCTCTCTCCTTACATCCTGCCACCAGGAAGCTGCGGCCTCCTCCTAGGACTGCCAGGTTGCACTCTCCTAGCGGGGCGCTCTCTACCCTCAACCCATGTTCTCACACCTCGCTTCAATAATTTCGGATATCTTTGTAAGGAAGACTGTATCTAGGGTCCAGCAGAGTCTTTCGGTACAGTTTTGAAGATCAAGGATTTCTTTAGAAGACTAGTAAGCGATCTATGGCCACCTCTACACTTTAACAACTAAAGTTTTACACTCACCGTCATTTATCCAGGCGTTCTTGAATTACGAGAAAAATAAAATCGAAAGGTAAGAAGAAAAAATCATGCAAGTATTTCAAGTTTCTCTACGAGGATACTTGACGAGGCAGTCAGTGTGATGTTCACGGATAATTGACGAGGGAGAGTGAAATGTTCGCTACAGAATTCCCGTGGAAAAGAGACGGGGAGAGAGAGAGAATAGACATGTATTACAGAATAAGTAACAGACACAACACCAGCAAGAAGAACGTGCGAGGCCAGTATTAATAGACGCCATGGAGGGGGTATACAACTCTCAGCGGGAGGCTAATGATTCAAGATTAGATGAGAAAGCAGGTGAACTGATAAGACGATGATGAGCTTTCCTCCGAATTATATATATAGAATTTTGGTAGAGGAGAAAGGGCTTTAAGAAACGTAGAGGCGGAATTCTTAGACAAGGAAGTATAGGGAAGCCTCCAAAAAACCGGAAGCAATATTTTAAATAACAGGGGTGTTGAAAATAGTATAAAATACCGACAAGTTGTTGATTATGGCATGTGTAACAGTTGGGTATCTTTACTGATGAAACGTTTCGCCTACACAGTAGGTTTCTTCAGTCAGATACAGAGTCAGCAGATATAGTAGTGAAATGAAGAGAATTTAATCAGTCCATCATCCTTGGAGGAACAGTATTTGATGTGGTCAGTCCTGACCATCTCAAATACTATTCCTCCAAGGATGGACTGATTACATCATTATTTCACTACTACACCTGCTGCCTCTGTATTTGACTTGAGAAGCCTACTGTGTACCTGGAGGTTATTCCGGGGATCAACGCCCCCGCGGCCCAGTCCATGACCAGGCCTCCCGATGGATCAGGACCTGATCAACTAGGCTGTTACTGCTGGCCGCACGCAGTCCGACGTACGAGCCACAGCCCGGCTGATCCGGCACTGACTTTAGGTATCTGTCCAGCTCTCTCTTGAAGGCAGCCAGGGGTTTATTGGCAATTCCCCTAATGCTTGATGGGAGGCTGTTGAACAGTTTTGGGCCCCGGACACTTATGGTGTTTTCTCTTAGTGTACCAATGGCGCCCCTACTTTTTATTGGCGGCATTTTGCATCGCCTGCCCAGTCTTTTACTTTCGTAGGGAGTGATTTCTGTGTGCAGATTTGGGACCATTCCTTCCAAGATTTTCCAAGTGTAGATTATGATATATCTCTCCCTCCTGCGTTCCAACGAGTACAAGTCAAGTGCTTCCAAGCGTTCCCAGTAGTTAAGGTAGGCGAAACGTTTCAAAAATAAAGATACCAAACTGTTACACATGTGTCTTAATTATCCAACAGGGACTAGAGGAGAAGGTTGTCCATTTGGATCAGCAGTACAAGTGTCAATAAGACTGTAAAGGTGAGTTGACCGAAAAGACATGTTTTCAAGAGCCTGAGGATAATATCCAACACTTTACGTATTCTTGTCAACTGAATAAATGATATACTTAGAAGAGTGAGGTGTGAGACGAGAAATCTCGAGGCAAAGATGGGAATCAACAGAGTGAAACTTGTTCATGAAGAATTAGACATATGCAACATCTGGGTATCTTTAATGTAGACGTTTCGGCTCCAGTGGCTTTCTCAATACAAAGCCAATTATGTCCTTGAATTTGTACTGGTAAAGCCACTGGATGGCGAAACGTCTACAAATAAAGATACCAGGATGTTGCACATCTGTCTAAATCTTCCGAGTGAGGCTTGCTGAGTCGAAGGAGAGCCATGAGACTACACTCACTCAAGAGACGCAGGCTAGAGGGGTACTCACCAGCGCCACCAGCAGTGTCAGCGGTGAGGTCCAGCACCTCCAGGATCAGCGTGAACGATCTCTGCAACAGAAGGGAGAAAACATCAGTGATCAGTGGCACCCGTCACAACACTTTCCGATGCACGTGAGACACACATAAGAAACAGTCAATGTTAACAATGAAGAACATTTATCTTTGTAAATATTGATGCATCGAATTAATTTTAAGGTAATTTTATTACCTCTCAGTTATATTTGGGATTATTTTTTTATTATAGTAATTGAATTATTACTTTTCCGTGGGGTTATACAACACGGAAAAAATAAGTAACAGTAACTGAAAAAGTAAGAATGAAAAAAGTTAAAGAAAAGCCAAAAAAAAAAAAAGGAAAATTAAAGAACATAGGAAAGGCTGACAAGAGGACAACGCACTTCAGTGGACAGCTGCTGCTGAGGTGGTGGTGGGAGGAAGATGGTGGTGGAGGAATGGTGGTGGTGGAGGAATGGTGGTGGTGGAGGGTGATAGTGGCAACCTTCCCAGCCACACCCTCTCCTTTTCATCCTCTCCCCACTCCACCTCTCCCTTTACGATACACAGAGGCATCGTGTCGGCCACGCCCCTCCCACCTTTCCCTACCTTTTCCACCGTGCACAACTTTCAGTTTTATTCATGAACAGGGCAGCGGGTTCGTTAATCAAAGTGAACCCGACAGCGGATCTTAATTCAAACAAACCCGGGCGGATGGACTCGTTAATCCAAATAAACCGTGAGAGCGACTTCGTTAACACAAACGAACCAGGAGTGTGGATTAATCCTTAGTCCGAACGACTGGTCGAGATGGTTCGTTAGTTCAAACAAAACACTGGACTATGCATATCGAGACTGCCTTATTTATTATTACTACTGGATGGCATACTATTCCATCCCCCGGGATGACATACTATCCAAGCTCCCGGGATAATGTACAGTACTGTCACAGGGATGGTGTACTATCCCTTTCTGGAATGATATGCTATCCCATTCCCCAGAATGATTAACTATTCATAACAGCCCCATTTCTTCCATTCTACCTTCCTCTTCCGGCTCCCTCCCTCTCTCATATCTCGCTACCTAGTTCCCACCGTGGCTTCCAGGATCATAGATGCATAGATTTTCAGGGTGGTTTCCAGGACCATCTCTTCGCTGCTTTCCAGCACGGAATTTCGGACCCTCGTTGTAGAGACTTCCTGCACCGTAAAACGATCATTATTACTATTTTCGGAACATCTTCCAGGGCTCTTGCTGCGAGGTTTTTCACCGCAGTTTCCAGAAACTCCACTACAAGGTTTTCCTGGAAACATTAGAAAACCTTTACTGAAGCGCTTAATTGCGATTCCAAGGGCCTTCTTACACAGTTTTCCAACACAACTTTACGACCCTCACCTCAATGTTTACAATGTGAATCTCAGGACCTCGTCAGCGTATTTTTCTAGCGTGACTTCTAAGATACTTATAACTTCAATGTTTTCAGCAGAACTTAGAAGTTTAGCCCGCCACAAGCAGCTAGCTGGAAGGTTAACTTTCCAGGACTAGAGAGGAGACCCCGGGGAGACAGGAGACGGGATGGCATCTCAGTTGCTCTGGGATAGTGGAAGATAAAAAGAACATAAACCCCTCCGGAGCACCCTTACCTCCACGCCCACCAGCCTCCTCTACCACGCCTCCTCCCCAGCCTCCTCAATCATCTCCAGCCTCCCAAAGCTTCCCCAGGTCTCCCATACTCCCCTAGCCCCACCCCTTTCCCCCATATCATAGAACTCCTCATCTGGCTCCCCAGATACATCTCACCTTTCCCCAGCATCTTCATTCATCTTAAACCTCCCCAGACTCCCCAGTCCCCTTTGCATCGGTCCCCCAGATCTACCTCACCCTAACTCACCCCCAGCATGCGTGCCCCGGGTTGATAAATACCGGCGCAGGAGCCCCAGTGGCTATCGCACAATGAATCATTTATCTTACCAAGTTTGGAATATATAATGAAACCAAAGCGCACGAACATTACACCAGGGAGCTGCCTGCCTGGGCGCAGATAGCTGCAGGGGACGGAGGAAGAGAGTGGGAAGTGAGGGATGCTGAGTGGTAGTCAAGGAGAGTTGGTGGCTCGAGTGCTGTCGATGATGCGTCTTCTTGCCGGTATATCTAGGTGACGGCAAGAAGACTGTTTTTGGGTCAGTAGTATCAGAGAGACGGGAAAGTCCAGATGATGAGGCTGGGAGTGTGAGAGTGTAATAGAGGGGGAGGCGGATAAGAGGGAGAGCTGGTGGAAGAGGGAGAGATGGATAAAAGGGAGGTAGAGTTAAGATAAAGAGCTCACAGGGGAATAAGAAGCTGTAAAAATAGATGCTTTAAGAGCCTGTTACACAGATTGTGAGAAGCTTCTCGACTGATAGTGTGAGAGGGGGGGATGTCGTGCCGAAAGAGCCAAACCAGCGAATTAGGCCTAAAAAGCAAGCTTTTTTCTGCCAAATAAGCAGAGTAAAAAAAATTATTCAATAAACCTGCGAAAATCGAACTGAACATAGCTACAAAATATATAACCTCGATTTTAATATAAAATAAATTAAATAAACAAATTTAATCTACCTGTAAAAAAATCTTAATTTTTAGGGAGTTATGATAGGCATTTTCGACTTATAAGATTATATATTTAAAATATATATATATATAATATATATATATATATATATATATATATATGTCGTGCCGAATAGGCAGAACTTGCGATCTTGGCTTAAATAGCAACGCTCATCTTGCCATATAGGACAAGTGAAAATTTGTGTATGCAATAATTTCGCCAAAATAATTCTGAACCTAACGAAAAAAATACATTTGATTGTGTTTGTTTAGTATTAAATTATTGTAAACGTATTTAAAATATATTTATTTGGGGTAGGCTAAAATAAATTGCTCTTGTTATAATAAGGTTAGGTAAGTTTTCTAAGATTCTTTTGGCGCAAAATTAAAATTTTTTACATGAACATTAATAAAAAAAATATATCTTTAAACGTATAAGAGAAAATTTAAGAAAGGACTTAATTTTAAACGAGTTCTTGCTAATTGACCAGTTTTACATATTCGGCACGACATATATATATATAATATATATATATATATATATATATAATATTATATATATATATATATATTATATTAGTGTGTGTTGTGTGTGTGTGTAGTGTGTGTGTGTGGTGTGTGTGTGTGTGTGTGTAAATACGCTATAATTTAACTCCTATTAAGCGTAGATAATTTTTATTACTCAGTGAACCCTGTTATTAATGGTTGTGATGTCGGATACGTGGTGGTTGTGGAGGGAGTAGTGTGCTGGTGATAGTGATGATCGTAGTGGGCGGGGTGATGGTAGTGGTGACAGCAGTGGACAGTGGTAGTGGTGAGACCAGGGAGTAATATTTTTAGTAGTGGTGTTAAAGTGGCTGGATAAAATTCATCAGGATTAGTGGTGTGGGGAAGTATCGTGGGGAAGAGTCTTGGGGAAGTATCGTGGGGAAGTATCGTGTGGAAGTATCGTGGGGAAGTATCGTGGGGAAGTATCGTGGGGAAGTATCGTGTGGAAGTATCGTGGGGAAGTATCGTGGGAAAGTATCATGGGAAAGTATCGTGGGAAAGTGTCGTGGGTGGCAGAGAGGTGCGGTAGCAAGGTAGTGGCGGGTCAGCGGCTGTAAGAGTAGTGGCAGTAATCAATGAGAATCATCAATGAGCTTTAGGTAACAAACGACGCGTCTAGTGGTTTATGTGATCATGTGTTAGGTGAAGAGGCCACGCCTGCCAGCCAGCCTGCCTGCCTGCCTGCCTGCCTGCCTGCCTGCCTGCCTGCCTGCCAGCCTGCCTGCCTGCCTGCCAGCCAGCCTGCCTGCCTGCCTGCCTGCCTGCCTGCCTGCCTGCCTGCCTGCCTGCCTCTACCACCATTACAACCATCAACCACTACAATCAACAACAGTCCCCACCACAACTTCACTATTACACAAACTACAGTAAATAAGTAAGACATGTCCAGCAGTTAGGTATCGTCATTCTGTAACGTATCGCTTACACAGTGCGCTTCTTCAGGCGACTACAGAGGTGGCAACTATGGAGACAGCAGAAGCAGTGGATCAGTCCATCAACCTTTAAATAGTAGTTTAAAGGTGGTCAGTCCCCGAGTCTTGAACCTTCAGAACTAAAAAGGTGAGTTCCTGATTTCTACGTCAGATCTTTACAAACATAACCAGGGGACTCCTGCAAGACTCACTCCTTAGTCCCACACTCTTACACAAGAACATAAGTATGGAGAAACACTGTAGCAGGCCTAATGGCCCATACTAGGCAGGTCCTTCTCAAGGTCAACCATTCCCACCCACCTGCTTGCCAGTAATCATAAATACCCTAACATCTAACAAACACAGGAACGTAAAAAAAAGGAGCAGCACTGCAACAGGCCTACTGGCCCTTGCTAGGCGGGTCCAACTCGCACCCACAAACCCAATAATGTACTGAAATCAACATAAGAGTAAACACATGTTGGTTACATGAATTGAATTTAAGAAAATGCAAAATCGTGGACACTAAAACAGGAAAAAGAAGACTGGATGCAGAGTACTATCAGGTCAAGAAACAACTCTAACAGCTACAAAAAGTAAGAGACGTGGGAGTACACATCACGCCGAACCTGTCACATACAGCTCAAACACATAATACATCTCAATGATGTTCTTCCACTAAACAAACACATTAAACACTTAAATGCACAAAACATCTAAAAATACGCAAAGCAAATAGCAAATTGTCAACTTTTTGGAAAATTGTACCTACAAATTTCCATAAAATAACTGCGCAGGCAAAAAAATATTATGATGAATGGTTTGAAAAACCGACAAGTTGAAGATTGAGACACTTATGCAGCATATGGAAATCTTTATTCAGGAAACGTTTCGCCACACAGTGGCTTCATCAGTCCAAAACAAAGAGGAAGGCGTAAGGAGAGGAGGAGAATGAGGTAAACAGTCCCTCAACCTGGAGTCGATGTGTTCAGTCCATCAATCTTGTAG